GAGGGTGTGGATGGCCCAAGTAGGTTGTGGGTGCCCCAGGTTGGTTGTGATTGCCCCAAGGAGGTTGTGGTTGTCCCAGGGAGGCTATGGATGTTCCAAGGAGGTTGTGGTTGCCCCAAGGACATTGACATTCAGGGTGAGAAGCAACACCTCAAGGTGCCCTGATGAAGAACCAAGTAGCTCCACCTAGATGGATCTGTGAAGCTTCAGCACCACTTGGATGGTGTCTGAAGGTGGTGGTGGCCCTGGCACAGGTTCTCCTGGACTCCAGGTAGCTCCTACTGTGTCCTACCATTGTCTCCAAGACTCTTCCAGCCGTGAATCCTCCTCAGGTGTCCTCCCACCCCCAGACCCTGTCCTGCTGCTGGGACTGACCCTCCTGTCCCTCCCCTAGGGCTCAGGAGATGTCAAGTACCACCTGGGGATGTACCACCGCAGGATCAACCGCGTCACCGACAGGAACATCACCCTGTCCCTGGTGGCCAACCCTTCCCACCTGGAGGCAGCTGACCCCGTGGTCCAGGGCAAGACCAAGGCAGAGCAGTTCTACTGTGGGGACACCGAGGGCAAGAAGGTGAGTGGAGGTGGCCCTGGGTGGTGACAAAGTGAAGAGACCTGACCCTGATGGCACCAGGAGTTTGCTTCTCCTCCTCCTGCTCTTCCTCCTCCTCCTCTTCCTTTTCTCCTCTTCCTTTTCTCCTCTTCCTTTTCTCCTCTTCCTTTTCTCCTCTTCCTTTTCTCCTCTTCCTTTTCTCCTCTTCCTTTTCTCCTCTTCCTTTTCTCCTCTTCCTTTTCTCCTCTTCCTTTTCTCCTCTTCCTTTTCTCCTCTTCCTTTTCTCCTCTTCCTTTTCTCCTCTTCCTTTTCTCCTCTTCCTTTTCTCCTCTTCCTTTTCTCCTCTTCCTTTTCTCCTCTTCCTTTTCTCCTCTTCCTTTTCTCCTCTTCCTTTTCTCCTCTTCCTTTTCTCCTCTTCCTTTTCTCCTCTTCCTTTTCTCCTTCTGCTCCTCCTCCTCCTCCTCCTCCTCCTCACTGCCCTGGTTGGAAGACCAGGAACACTCCCCAGGAGCATGTCAACTCGTGAGGCTTGAGTAGGTGGCTCCTTCCTGGAGCTCAGGAATGGGACCTGGACCTGCTCAGGGTGTCCTTAGAGGTTCTGGTGGCTCCATGTCCTTCTGGAACTTGGGAATGGGGCCTGGACCTGCTCAGGGTGTCCTTAGAGGTTCTGGTGGCTCCATGTCCTTCTGGAACTTGGGAATGGGGCCTGGACCTGCTCAGGGTGTCCTTAGAGGTTCTGGTGGCTCCATGTCCTTCTGGAACTTGGGAATGGGGCCTGGACCTGCTCAGGGTGTCCTTAGAGGTTCTGGTGGCTCCATGTCCTTCTGGAACTTGGGGAATGGGACCTGGACCTGCTCAGGGTGTCCCAAGGGTTCTGGTGGCCCCAGGCTCTGCCCATGGCTGCTCCTCTCCCATCTCTTGGCGTTGGATGATCTCCATGTCCTTCCTGGGCTGCTGAAGGCCCCTGTGGGTGGAGCTGGAGGTTCTCCTGCTCACGCTGCCCCGGCTGAGCTGCTGCTCCCGGTGGCAGGTGATGTCCATCCTCCTGCACGGCGACGCCGCCTTCGCCGGCCAAGGCATCGTCTACGAGACCTTCCACCTCAGCGACCTCCCCTCGTACACCACCCACGGCACCGTCCACGTCGTGGTCAACAACCAGGTGAGGACACGTCATGTGCCACCGAGTCATGTGGCACCATACCAAGCCCCAGCCCACCACGCTGAGCCGCCAAGCACCATGACAGCCCCACCAGGACCTCCACACAACACCATGCCCAACCCAACAGCACCACCACAGAGCACTCCGGACCATGTGCCACCATCACCATGTCCTAC